ATGAAAAGAAATGAGAGTATCTGGATCTGTTAATACTTTTTTATCTGTGCAATAAACCCTTCATGTTTTCCTGTTGTTGAAGATGCACTATCTGTACATACACTCACTAAAATTTACCAAATTAAGGCTGGCACGGTGGCTCACGCCTATAATCCTAGCACTCTGAGCGGCTGAGGTGGGAGGATAGCTTGAGCTCAGGAGTTCCAGACCAGCCTGAGCAAGAGCAAAACCCTGTCTCTACTAAAAATAGAAAAATTAGTCAGGTACTCAGGAGGCTGAGGCAAGAGCATTACTTAAGCCCAGGAGTTTGAGGTTGCAGTGAACTACGATGATGTCATTGTACTCTACCCAGGGCCACAGAGCGAGACTGTCTCAAAAAAAAAAAAAAAAAAAAAAAAAAAAGAAAATTTACCAAATTCAGTCCAACTTCATGACACTTATCTTGAAAGTTTTTGAAGTTATCTATTTCCCGTGTTATGGTCACAAGAGTGCCCAAAGTGAGTAACTCTTGGTAACAAAGAAAATCTTCTGTTATGGTCCAAATTAAAGTACAAAACTTGGGCCGAGTCAGTAGTATCAATTGATTCATCCAAAGTGATTGAATAATATATATTTTCCTACTGAAATATCGCACAAAGTTGTTTTGTTAAGTTGAAGGCTAATTCATGCTGCCGATCAGTTATGTTTCTCCTTGAAAGAGGCAGTTATTTGTGCTTTGAAATATTATTGGGATCTGAGTATCCTACAGCTTCAACAATGCATTCTTTCGCAATTTCCATGTCACCGAATGGCTTCCCTTTTTCCCCTACTATATAAGCCACTTTATAAGTTGCTTCAGTGGCATTATTTCCAGGTCTTATTGCTGCTTGAAAGAATTGCCTTTGCTTTTGCTTTTCTTCTTTTAATTTCTACAATACAACCTTTTGGGCCTCTTCTTCTAATTTAAAATATTTGTGATTCTTATGAGTGTTACAATGCTGATGAACACTGAATTTCTTTAATGCTGATATTGCAGTATCACAGAGCAAGCAAATCACCTTATCTTTAGCAGAAACAAGATAATATTGCAATTCCCAATCCTCATTAAAAAGTCTGTTTTCTTCCTTCAGTGTTCTCTTGGTCTTCTTTTACATGATGGGCTGTTAAGCAGACAGAATTAAAAAATACCATCAAGTTGTGCAACTATTCACAAATCCCACTTCAGACAGAAACACAGTGCACCGTTGTCAAAAGCTGATAACACACTGTCATACTTGACCCCCATTAACTCTCGCCGACTAGCCTCGTGCAGTGGTGGGTGGCGCCAGTCAGGCAGGGGAAGTTAGAACTAAATCATGAGTGTAGCACCTGTCAGTTTAGCCCTTATGGCTTCTAGTGTTCTAATTGTGCCAGTCAATCTGGGAGGATTATTTCATTGAAACTTATTTTATTCTTTGGTATTTTAAATACATTCATTTTAAAAATAAAAATATAAAAGATGAACAAAAATGTATTAGTAAAAATAAAAGCATTTGTTCTGTAAAATTTGGATTCAGTGAAAAAGCTGCACTTAAGGACCTAGAAGGCCACATGTGGTCTTAATGCCGCAGGTTCCCCACCCCTTGTTTAGGCAGTTCTGAAAATTAAATTGCTTGTTAGATATTTAAAGAAGTGCTTGCCTCTCTTCCAATATGACTTTGTATATCTTCAGTCTTCTGATGGAATTCTTTCATTCATTTACTCAATCAACAATTTGTTTATTTATTCAACACACATTGCTTGTGTGGATCTCCTATGTTCAAAGCACTGTGCTGGCAATTAAGAGTTAACAGAGATGAATATATAGCTCTTACCCTCCAGGAGCTTACAAATGGAGAAAATCCATGAAGTTTGGTATAGAAAAGAAAAATGAAATTCAATGAAACTACCATGAGTACAGCATGCTGATAGTCTAATTTTGACTTGGGAGGATTAGGGATGTTTTCTAGAAAAGGAAGCATGAAAGGTTTGTTTTAATAATGAGAAAAGGTTACAGAAGGTATTATGGTCAGATTATGAAGACACTGTTCTGCAATCCTGAGAAACCTAGGTGTACACAAATTTACAAGCATTGGAGAAAAACACTTTATGTTTTTTACAAAAGGAGGTATTTGATGTTGTCTGGGGTTTAGATTACTCTTCAGAGCTGTGTGGAAGATGAATTAGAAAGGAAAGTAGAGCCTAGTTAGGAAGCTGTTGTGATAATCCAGATGAAAGACAATGAAGGATTGTTTTTTTCTATCACTTGCCTCTCAACTAAAATACAAATTCCATGAAGGCAGAGGCTTTGCTCCATTCACTGCTATAGTCCCAGCACTCAGAACAGTGCCTGACTTATAGTAGCTGTTCCTAAGTATTTGTTGACCAAATGAATAAATACGTGAAAGAATAAATGAATGAATGAACTTAACGAGACAATGAAAATGCAGAGAAGCGGTCAGAAAGAGATAATTTGCCTCCTTCCAGGAGAAGAAGTTTGTTGGACACACACACACATATTTTGGTTGCAAAGCACGTGCACTTTTCGCCACATCTTCTAAAACCAAGTGCTTTTGACTCGGCTTGTTTTATGGTTTGAATGTGTTCCCTCCAAAATTCAGGTGTTGGACCTTAATGGTCAATGCAATAGTATTAAGAGGTGGGGCCTTTAAGAGGTGATTAGGTCATGAAGTCTCCGCCCTCGTGAATGGGATTAAGGCCCTTACAAAAGAGGCATCACGCAGCATTCAGCTCACTTGTGCTTGCCTTGGGGTGAGGACATGTGGACGTAGCATTCCTTCCCCTCCCAAGGATGCAGCAACAAGATGTCATCTTGGAAACAGAGAGCAGCCCTCACTCAACAAAGAACCTGTCCGTACCTTGATCTTGGACTTCCCAGCCTCCAGAACTGTGAGAAAATAAATTTCTCTTCTTTATAAGTTATCCAGCTTCAGGTATTTTTTTATAGCAGCAGCTGAGACAGGTGGCATGTAATGGCTATTTTCAAAAAGTTATCACAGTCCACATAGCAATAAAGGAACTACAGATGTGTATCGGCTCTCACATTTATGGTAGCATGTGGTGATGACAATTTTAAAGATAAATGTTTCAATTATACAGAAGGCCAATATTTCCTCAAATTTTTTGGTGTCTGTAGGATGCATATAAGTGACCCAGTAGGAAAAAAAGTGTTTAAATCAGTTTGGGAAACAATGGATTATAGCATTGTGAACAGGTTTATTCACCATGAGACTTCTCAGAACTCTTCATATATTTTCATCTGTGAATATCTAAAAGGCAAATGTAGCAAATGGATTTGACTATGGAGTTTCCCCCCCGACATGCACACATATACCTTCGCGGTGCACTCACAAGAGCAGCATTTGATGAAACATTTGGGAAAACACTGGCCTAAACATACACTGAAATGCCAGGAAGACTAGCATAGTTTTTCTATATTTCACTCTGTTTAGAAGATTGCAAAAATTTCCTTAGGTTAGGAGCTTTGTACGTGAAATTTCCAACACCTGCCATATGGAGAGAGAAGACAGTTTTTCATGCTCTGACAATGCTATACTTTACCAAAGTAGTTACACCTGAGTGAAAACCTGAAGCAAATAAAATTGAGAGCACAATATATTCATCAGGGGGAATTAGCCACTCAGCGAATACTCAATGCCTCGTGGGGAGTGATGGTGATTAGGAAGTGTGAAAACACCTGCCCAAATTGTGTTTCTGAAGAATTCTCACATTTTCCCCTTCCTTGGAAAGCTGCCATTACTTTTCTAAGCACAAACCTGTTACCATGTTGACCATCAGTGGAGTACCTGGTCCATGTACCAGGGATAGTAGATGGAAGCCCTTGTCCACCTTGAGCTCTCTGCAAATACCAAACTCCTAGATCCAAGAGCAAGGCGAAAGGAGCCACAGGGCCAAGCAGGGCCCAGGTGGTGATGTGACCACAGCGCAGTTTCTGCCTCCAAGGTCTTTGGTCAACTTTTGGTAACAGGAATGAAGTCTCTTCTTTGTGTCCCCAGTCTACCCATACGATCCTACCCATTTTGGTTCTGGGGCTTTTGAAATTCTTCTTGGGTCGGTAGCTTCACTGTCTCTTTTTAATCAGTACCATTTCTCCAGAAAGCCTTAGCTCCCCTTTTTACTTTCACGCCCTCAACTTTAAATACTAAATTTAGTTGGGCTCGGTTGCAGGTGCCTGTATTCCCAGCTACTCAGGAGGATGGCTTGAGTCCGGGAATTTGAAGCTATAGTGTGATCATGCCTATGAATAACCACTGGCCCCCAGCCTGGGCAACATAGCAAGACCCCATTTCTCTAAAAAAAAAACAAAAACAAAAACAAATTTAAGTGATCTTTTCCCAGACCTTATTTTTGCTTGTTTCACTCATTTCCACAATTCATTGATTATTCTTTGTTCATTGTTTTACCTTTAAAACACAAATATTTATTAAATACCCCTGCCTTTGGTCATCATTTGCTATAAGTTGTCCTTCTCATCTAACAATTTTCTCCACCATACAATTGTTCCTAATACATTTGGGGAGCATTCTAATTCTTATTTCAGATTTTAACTGGATAAAACACCCTATGTATGAAGATTTACAACCTGCAAATGAGGCATGTGTGAGAAATGTTAGTATGTAAAACATGTCTGTATTAAGTCGATTATAATTCAAGCAGTTTAGTGACGCAGCTAAGAGCCCAATCATCACAGCAGCCTGCCTGGGTCTCAAGAGCTTGTTCGCTGCGATTCGAGACAAGTAACCAACCGGTCTTACTGTCCCTCACTTTCTCATCTATAAACTGAGGAAAATAATAATTCATTTGGTTATTAGTAAGGATTAATTGAATTAACACGTCTAAAAGGTGAATGACATCACCCAGAACGTAGTGTCATATAATCATTACTTCCACCGTTAAAATAATGAAAGCATCTTAGAATAAAGTGTGGAATATTTTTAAAAGTACTTCTTTTTCTTTTTAAGGTCCAGATTATATAAAGGAGCATTTACCTAAAGTTCACCAGCACACTTCCTACGTAGGAGAAAAGCGTCCGGCGTTAGAAAAAACCGGAGATCTCAGATATCTGTGGAGGCCGGCCTCAGACAGAAGCATGCCAGCAAGATACAAACACGAGTATGTTGGTGGAGTTGGCTGGGGAGTGCAAGAGTATAATTTCATCAACAAATCAAGACTTGAGAGTGGCTTTCATATCAAGGTATTGCTCTTAATTTATGCTCTGCATAGTATATTGTTTTCTGACTTGAGTTCTTCCAAAGGAAATGGCAGGTGTTTGATCTCTCATTGAGAATTAACGGAGTTTGAGTTTTGCAGAAAGGCAAATGTGTGAATAAATGTTCTTGCTCCCACAACTCCCCGTTAGCCCCCTTCAATACAAGAGAGGAGGGGGATGAAGCAAATGAAGTCATGGATGATGCAAAAGCATTTGTTTGGTGTTGGAATGCATTCACGTTCGCACTTGTGCTCAGACACTTACACTTCCCCACCCTAGCACTGCGCTGTGGGTGGGTGGTGCAAAGCGAGAAGCCTGTGTAGGACGTAATCCACGAAGCTCACATACGCGTCTCCGATCTTTAAAATCCACCGTGTTGGCAATGCCTTTGTGTCAGGTAATTCAGGGTATGTCATCAGAGGGTTCTTAGAAAACTTGTCTTATTTCCTTTTGGTGATGTGGACACAGGCACGAGCTCAACAGTCTCCTCTGAAACAGAAAAACAGTACAAGTGTTTTTAGAAGTAAAATATGAGAATCCAGATTTCTTTTTTTTTCCCGGCAGGCCTTTGCATTGTCTGAAAATGTATCAGTTATGCAATAACTGGATTTCATCAAATTCTTAAGGCAGTACAGGACAGTCTCTTCAGGTAAAGGTTAACAGAAGAAAAAACCTTTTTTTGGCCCAGACTACAGCAACCCAGGGGAGGTGGCCGGAAGCTCAGTCTTTGAGGTTAGACTCTGATTTAGGTCTAGCTCTGCGACTGTGGGCAGAGGGGTTCACCATCCCCTCCTCTTCCATGTGGCAGTGTTTGGAGGCCTACTCCACAGGATCACTTGAACTCCTATCCTGGTTCTGTCACCTACTAGCTGTGCGCGGCCTTGGTCAAGTTCTTTAACCCCTGTGCCTCAGTTTCTTCATTATGAAATCTTAGTATCTACCTTATGGAGTTGTTGTAAACAGTAAACAAGTTAATATCTGTAAGGTGCCGGGAGCAGTGCCTGGCGTGCAGCAAGCCCTGTGTGTGTTTAATATCGTGAGGATTAAATATGACAACCCAAGGACCCACTAAGTGTGACCCTGGCACATGGTCAACATCCAGACTTCAGCTATGAGTATTAACTGTTGTCGTGGTTGTATTTAATGTTACTCAGTTAAACAGAAGGATTGCTCAGCTTCTTATACTGTGTCCTAGTCCACTTTGGCAATAAAGACAAAAATCAGAAATTTGATTAAATATCAAACCGGCCACGAGGAAGAAGAGTACAACCCAAAGCCAAGCAGCTGGTTTGAATAGAGTCCAGAACTCTTGTTGCCTTGTTTCTCTTTGGGTGATGCCCTGCGTTGGTACGCAGCCCTCAGTCTGTCAGAGCTGCTTGAGGGGGACAGCCGCTCTTCCTCCTTCATCTTTAGCTTAAGAACCCATTTTGCTGCCCAGATGAAGTGCACTCAAGCATTCCTTGGTCTTTAAAGCAAGCTGGATATTCAAAAGAGATGACAGCCACGAGTTAGCCTTCCAGGAAGGTATTTACCATTCTTTTAGTTAGTATTTCACAGAGTGCTTTTCATCACTGTCCTGCTGGGTAGCAGTGTCCTCTTGGGCTCTGTGGGATTGAGTGTGAGCCTTACAATGATTTTCTTCCCCAACTTATGGCACACGAAAAAACTGTTGTTTTTTTTTTATTTTTTATTAAGAGATGGGGTCTCGCTCTTGCTTAGGCTGGTCTCCAATTCCTGAGCTCAAGTGACCCTCCCTCTTCGGCCTCCCAGAGTGTTAGGATTACAGGCGTGAGCCACCACGCCTGGCCAAAAATTGGTCTTATTTGGAATATGCTATAAGGGATGTTGCTTATCATCTGTGTAATTTCTTGGCCCTGGCGTTTTAACGGTTATTGTTTTCAAGGATCTACCTGTCTCAGATAATTATCTTGAGCAGTAACTTAAAGAATTCCTTGGACTTACAGCTTTATAATAAAAACAAAAAGATTCACTGAGAATGACCATATATATTAGCAATGAACCACCTACAATTTACCTACCAGTTAAGACCTAGGTTTTGGCCAGGCACGGTGGCTCACACCTGTAATCCTAGCACTCTGGGACACCAAGGTGGGAGGATCGCTTGAGGTCAGGAGTTCGAGACCAACCTGAGCAAGAGTGAGACCCTGTCTCTACTAAACATAGAAAAATCAGCTGGGGTTTGTGGTGCACACCTGTAGTCCCAGTTACTTGGGAAACTGAGGCACAAGGGTTGCAAAGAGCTACGATGATGCCACTGCACTCTACCTGGGACAACAGAGGGAGATTGTCTCAAAAAAAAACAAAAAACTCCCAGTTACTTGGGAAACTGAGGCAGAAGGGTTGCAAAGAGCTACGATGATGCCACTGCACTCTACCTGGGACAACAGAGGGAGATTGTCTCAAAAAAAAACAAAAAACAAAAAACCACCCTAGGTTTTGTCAGTGAGGTTGCTCATCTTCCCTTCTGCATCCAAGGCAGATCACGACGTCATTTTTTGAGTCTACACTCAGTCTTTGATTTCCAATCAACCTTGTGCTTCAGGCAGCTCCTTCCAATCAGTCAGATTTGGTACGTGAGTTGACACTTGAGCTGATCCATACACATGCACTTCATGAATACGAACATGCACCTAATTATAAAGAATATACAGGAGTGGTGGCATTAACCCATGCCTTCCCTCACAAGGGAGCTGGTAAATTTCTCAGTGCAGTGTCACTTAGGGCACCGTCTCAATCCACTTCCTGTTCTTTCTCCAGTTCTTTCATATCTTTTTTTTTTCTTTCTTTTTCTTCCTTTTCTTAGGACAAGATCTTGCTCTGTTGCACAGGCTATAGTGTGGTGGCACAACCTCAAACTCCTGGGCTCAAGTGAGCCTCCTGCCTCAGCCTCCCAAGTAGCTGGGACTACAGGCATGCATCACTACACCCAGCTAATTTTTTAAAATATATTTTGTAGAGACAGGGTCTTGCCGTGTTGCCCAGGCTGGTCTTGAATTCAAGCCATCCTCCTGCCTCGGCCTACCAAAGTGCTAGGATTACAGGTGTGAGCCACCACACCCAGCCAGTTCTTATCTTTCTGTAGACCCTTCCACATGTCTTGCTCTTCCTTTATCTCATGATAGTTCAAATCAAAATGGTTATTTCTTATTTCAGTCTAACTGCAGAGACTCCTCAGTGTCTCTCACTGCAATTGCTCAAAACTTAGATTTTAAGCACAAACTTTCATCTACTGGATTTTTATAGCTCTAACAGCTGCTCTTCCTAATTTACTGCTCCAGGTTTATGTAAGACTGGAGGCTGAGGAAACTCGGGCACCTCCCATAGACTCTTGGTAAAATGCCTGGGGCAGCTGCCTCCTGCCTGGGAATGCTCTGTCCTATTTGGGGCACTGGGAGGGGTTCTATAGATCATCTGGATTTTAGCAGGAAGATAATAACTTCCATGCTGAGTGACACCTGAAAAATTTCCCCCACATTGCAGAGGTCGGTAAAAATCACAAGATCAGGTTTCTCTTCTGGATTTTTTTTTTAAATGTTTAGCTATTTCCTACTCACTTTTATGTGGGTTACACATGCCATAATAATACATGTATATATAAACCAGGAAAGATCATTACTTTTGTTATTTCAGATTTAAGAGCAGCACATTCTTTTAAAAAAAAAAAAAAACGGATTTGGTCTCTGCCAAACTATGTTGTTTCTGCAAGGATATATGGAGACAATTGAAACAGTTCCTTTGGTTTCAATCCCATGCTAAACTGAGGAGCTTTTGTAACTGCTTCTGGTTGTGTCTCCCCTTCCCCTGGCCTTTGTTTAACCCAAACCTCAACAGGGTCACTGCCTCCTGGTGCCATTTCTGCTCCTGCGCTCTGACCTTGTGACAAGATGATTTAAGTCATTTGGTTTTCCCACAGATCACGATGTTATACTGGACTAGATGACTAACTTTTTTCATTGGTGTGAGCCCAAGGACAATATTAAACCAATTAATCATATAACTAATATATTATACAATGTAATTTTAAAAAATCAATATAAGTTTATAAGGAGAACCATGGGAACCCATCAATATATTACATTTACATGTGATACAATATAATGGAAACTAAACTTTTTGAGGCTTTGAAATCTCTGCCTCGTTTTTTAACTGCCACAAATTCTACCATCATGAAATAGAGAGGCAGACAGTTTTATGGACATTGGAGCAGACTTCTGATGAGATGTTGAATTTCTTGATGGCTATGAAATAAACTCATCCAAGGTTGGTTGCTTTATTAAACAGTTTGCTCACTATGAATTTATTTAGAGAAGATTAACATAAAAAGAGCTACATTGACTGTTTAGTAAGGATGTTCTGTGATTATTTTACAGTGGAGGAAACTGAGGTGTCAACAGGTGAGGTTCCTTGCCTGAGGCCACACAGCTAGTAATGGCAGAGTCAAGATTTCAACCCAGGCCGTGTGAATTCAGGGACTGGGGGGGTGGGGAGAATACAGCATGTACGAAGTGAAATGACAGACAATGAGATCAGAACATTGTATACTGGAGCCAGTATATAAAGTGCACAACTGTGGTATCATTTTTCTGTAAGGCAGGTCAGTTCGGGGTCAATTCCAGCTATCTTCTCAGAGAAGGTAGGCACCTCTTTCTTCATCGTTCTCTCAATTTTTTCCCAGCTTCCCGCTTTGCATCATTTGCTTATAGTATACTTCATTTATAATATTAAACAAATTTAGTAGTTACCACCCACAGATTTGACATAATAAGAAATAGCTTGGTAATAGTTATTTTTGAATTTTTATTTGATAAGTGCTTTGTCACCTTTCAAAACATATCATTAAATACAATCATTGTCACTGGCTGGCAGAAAGAAGACAGCGAGGTCTCACCAGGCCGAATCTTCTTTGTTCTAGCCTAACACTGTGCATTCTTCCAAACCGTCTACTCTTACGCAACAATGTCCTC